CGCAAGGCCCGAACAACGAGCATCTCTTCGCCCCAGTCCAGCTTCATTCCAAGGCGCGCGAAGACGCGACTGAGGGACACATCTTGGTCGGACCATCAATGCGTCGCGCAGAAAGAAGGAGGAGGAACGTACACCCCGTGTCACCTGCAGCGCCAGATGCTCCTCCGTGGCCGTGGTGCAGGTCGGCACTCCATTCGGCGTCTTCCCACAAGGCGTAGTCGGACAGTGCGAGCAGCACGATCGACGCGTGGTCTTCGTTTGGTGGGGAGTCCTTCGACTTGCCCTTGGTCGTGCTGTCGTCAGCTTCATTGGCGCTCTGTAAATCTTGCGCATAGAGGATATTCTCGGGGGTCGAAGAGATGGGAATCGAGTGCGTTGCGCGCGGCGGTGCCCTCAATTGATTCTTGTTCCCCTTCGTAAGAGCGCGCGGAAGGAACATGACAGAAACAGTTATGTAGATGGAGTCTCCAGATTCATGAAGACTGCTTAACAGAAGTTTAGAGTCGAGATGGCTGTAGGAAGGACGATGCGTGACAGCGCGTCATGTCACGCGACTGGGACGGCGCCAGTCACCCTCTCCCCCCCTCCTCCTCCTCCTCCTCCTCCTCCTCATCGCCCAAAGTAACTACGTGCAAGAGCACACTATGAGACCAAGTTCTGCGCAATCCTGTGCTCTGACTCACTTTTACTGTAGTGGTTTGCCTCTCATTTATATGTAATAACACTAGCTGGAGAGCCCGTGTACCACGGGCTGGGCGTCCTGGGAGTGTGATCACATTACAGTAGTGTAAACAGGCAAGCTCTCGTATATTTGCTGTATGCGAAGAGGGTAAAATGAATGATAGTAGAGGGGACGCGCCGCGCCGCGCACGCGCGGACCGGCGCGTCCCCCGTGCTATCTGTAATGCATGAGAAACACGAAGACCAGAGCGACAGTTTCAGAGAAGACAGAACGGCCGCGCGTGCATGACGCGCTGCATCGTGTCTCCCGTTCTTGCCGCCCGAATAAATGCTTGCCGACCCGCTGCATTGTATCCCGCAAATATCCTTATGGCATACTGTCATCCGCATGCCAGTCCGCCTCAATCCGCGGTAATACTAAGTACCGAGTTAAAGATTCATTCGCCGCGCTGGTAGTGAAAGAGAGCTTACCTTTTTGTAAGCGTCCGCTTTTTCGGTAAAGCCTCCCGCGTCATTTCTAGTATTTCCCAGCGCGAACAGCCCGGGTGTCATAGGCGCACCAACGTCAATATGCTGGTACATTGGTGATAGCGAGCTTGGGGCGCCGGAAGTTGGGAGGCAGCGCCGAGTGTAGCCGCTCAGCGACGATCACATCGCCTGCACCTGTTCGCAATGGCGAGTCTTATCCACGCGACACTGCGCAGCGCTCAGCATCCTACATTAGTGTGGTGAGCACAGAGTCGAGCTCGAGAGGAGCTGCGGGAAACGGCGCGGGAGGTGAATGCACCCCCGCCCACTGGATAGTACGTACGCGCCGCGCACGCGCGCGTCCCCCGTAGCCATCATGGTCCTATAGACCCCTCCGCATCTGACCATCGGAGACCTTCCGGACGCACTGCAGCGCGCGCATACACGCGCTACCCTGCGTCCCCGTGGATATTACCGTACTGATGCTCACATTCCCGAGCCTTCCTTGACCTTTAACCGCTTCTTGAGAATATTCAGTTCGATTGCGACCTTACTGAGTACGCCAAAATCACCTTATATTGTGCCATGTCACTATCAGAATGTTTGCGAATCCCTTTGCTGAAGCTGTACGGGCCAGCGGAGAGCATGGCACATTACCCTGAATCCTTCCGATTTGTTGAGAAGATTTTCGGAGGACACCACTTGCGTATACAGTATGTGTGGAGCGCGCCTGCCACTTGTCGCGTGTCCGTTGAGTTGCCGCCAGCTCGCAAGCAGAGTCGCTCGAGACGTTGCCGAAGTTTCTCGTACCATCGGCGGCCCGTGCGATCTGCCAAAGTTAGAGTTACAATCAATATACGTCGTACGTACCGTACTCACCTTATGCATGGTGCGGGGCGACTCGGGTGCCCACAACCAGGGTATTATTTCGGGCGCCCACTACGCGCGCGGCGAGTGGTGTCCCGTAGACGTTCTAGAGACCTCTCTATATCTGGCCATAGCCCATCAGAGACCTTCCGGACACACTGCAGCGCACTCTCAGACCGGCCTGCGTCCCCGTGAGTATCACCGCCGTGATCCCGTGGCTCCCTTGATCTTGAACCGCTTTTCTGGATTCATTCCTGTTCAATCAAGCCTTACAGAGTACATGAAAATTACCTTCTTTTGTGCTATCTCGCTGTCGGAATATCTGCAACGCCGCTTGCTGACGTTCGTGCTGGCCAGCTGAAGATACCTCCGGGCTTCCGCATCGTCCTAGGTCTGCCCAGCCGGACGATCGTCAAAGATACTTGTGTCTAGTGCACTTGAGCAGCCTGTCCGTTGCATGTCGCTCGTGATTGGCGGCTCGCAAGCGCTCCTTTGACTGGCGGATTTTCCCGTGCGACATCGACGACCCGTGCAATCTGCAAAAGTCAGTTTCATGGTACGAATAGTGCGTACTGGGATCATCTTGGGCCAGCGCGCGGCGAGTCAGGCTCCTTGTGGTCAAAGACCGAGTCCACCACAGCCCACCCTATCGACATCGTCCAACACTCACTCATTGTGGCCCTCCTTACTCATCATCGATAGTTGGCGGCTCGCGACTTCCTGAATTTCCTCTGCCAGGGCGTAGCCTTCGCTAGTCACTATCAAGAGTATCATGATTCGGGTTAAAGTACCGATGCTCAGCGGACGCCTGAGAGGTCAAAGGCCAAAGGCCGAGTCTGAAGCCACCGTAGCGTTCAAGGTGGTGGTTCGGGTCAAGGCGAACATCCTGCCCGACTTGGAGTCGGAGCCGTCCGGCAGCGCGTTAGCACCAGGTTTCATTTTGCCGCCCGTCTATGCTTAATACACATCATATCGTCAAATTTATGGGCCTATTTGCATGCTATGAAGTCTTGCTGAACTGGTGAGAGGGCACATGAGTGCTGAGGTGAAGGGGATACGGCTGCCAGCCAGCAAGCTGTGTGCTACGGTCGCCCGGTCCGGTTTGTCTCCACGTGCTTGCGATCAGTGATGTCTGATCACTGCTTGTAGAATTATTATTATGACTAGCTGGAGAGCCCGTGTACCACGGGCTTGGCCTGATAGCATATCACAACCATGTTCTATGGTAATTCTGAGTAACTGGACGAAGAATATGAGCGAAGGGAGCAGTGTAACGAATATCCAAGGGGGACACGATACGCCGCGCACGCGCGGCGCGTCGCGTCCCCCGTAGCCGTCCTAGAGGCCTCTCGGCCCCGTGACTGACCGTCAAAGACCTTTCGGACGCACTGCAGCGCGCGCATGCGCGCGCTGCCCTGCGTCCCCGTGGATGTCACAATCGCGATGGGCCCGTTCCTGCGCATTCCTTGACCTTGTATCGCTTTTCTGAGAATACTTCGGTTCAGCTACCACCTTACTGTGCACTTGAGAATTCCCTTACGCACTATTTTGCTATCCAATACCTGCTCAGCCGCTTGCCAGATCTTTACTGCCCAGCGGAGAGCATCTTCGGGTTGCCGTGTCATCATATGTCTGCCTGCGGTGTGTATGCGTTGAGCTTGCCTGCCCGTTCCATGGAGTCCGTTGACTATCCGGCAACTCGCAAGCACTTACTCGACTCGCTGAACACATTGCAGAATTTTCTCGGTGCCATCAGCGGACTCTGGAATCTGCAAAATTCAGTGTTACAGTCAGTAAGTATACGTAGTACGTACCGTCCTCATGCGTGGCGACGACTCGGGCGCCCGCAACCAGAGTATGCTTTCACGCGCCCGGCCCCGTCACTACACGCGCGGCGCGGCGCGTCCCCCGTAATCGTTCTTGAGACCTCTCCGTAACTGACCATTCAAGGCCTTCCGGATGCATTGCAGCGCACGCTGCCATGCGTCCCCGTGAGTGTCCTGCGCCTTCTTTGATCTCGATTCTCAAACCGCTTTTCTGAAGTTTGTTTTCCGTTCAAAAATGGCCTTTCAGAGTATATGATTATCACCTTCTTATGCACTATCTCGCTGTCGGAGTGTCCGCAAAGCTGCTTGCTGGAGTTGCGAAGGCCAGCTGAAAATACCTTGGAGCGTTGACGCATCGTCCTAGGTATTCCCGGCCGGACAATCATCCAAGACGCTCGCGTCTTATGCACTTGAGCGGCATGTCCGTTGCATGTTGCTCGTGGTTGTCAGCTCGCAAGGGCTCCTTCGACCGGTAGATTTTCCCGTGCGACATCGACGACCTGTGTAATCTGCAAAAGTCAGCGTTACAGTACAGATACCGTCGGCCCATAGTGCGTACCGTAATGACCTTGGGCGAGCGCGCTGCGAGTCTGGATTCTTGGGGTAATCAAAAGCAAACGCACCTGATCAACATCTTCCTATAAACCGTGTACTCTTTCATGGTAGCCCTGGCAGTCGCCTTACTCATCACCGATAGTTGCAGCTCTTGCGACTTCATGAATTTTCTCTGCCGCTCATAACCTTCGATATATCAAACGTCTTGTGATTCATAGTCAAATTTAGTGATATCAGCGGTCGCGTGAGAGGCCAGAGGCCGAATCTGAAGCCACCGTAGCGTTCAAGGTGGTGGTTCGGGTCGAGGCGTGAGCGTGCGAACATCCTGCCCGACTCGGAGCCGTCCGTCAGCGCGTCAGGACTCAGCACGCAGGTATCGATTGCCGTCCGTCGTACCATGCATTTATGTGTCTGTGTATATGCTATAAAGTCTTGCTGAACTGGTGGGAGCGCTCATGGGAGGTGAGGTGAAGGCGATACAGCCGCCAGAGTCGCCGGCAAGCCCTACGGTCTCCCGGTCCGGTTTGTCTCCACGTGCTTGCGATCAGTGATGCCTGATCTGCTTGTAGAATTATTATTATGATACGGATGGCCTCTCTTATCGGCCTGATGGTCTAGTAGTATGATTCCTTGTTAGGGGTGTACACCACATCGAGGAGGTCCTGGGTTCAATTCCCAGTCAGGCCCTTTCTTTTGCATCTTTTTCGCAAGGATTCTAGCAAGTGCGTCTGCCTCACAACTGCATGGAACCTGCAGGCGAGTTCTGTTGTGGACAGTTTGGCTTTGTGGGTGTCATTCTGTCACAGAAGTGACATCGCGGTAAAGCTTGTTGTACATCCCCATCATCAACTCAAGTGCCTGCTACGCAATGGCCCAGTCATTCGTCAACGGCTCCTGTGCCAGATACGCGCGCTTTCTTTCGATTAACTGCGGGGCTTGTCTTCAAGTCATCTACTTACCACCTGCCGTGGTTCATTGAATCTCCTGAGGATTTACACAATGGCGTCACTTTGTTCAGGCTCTCCTCAATGGGCTGTCCGTTCTCCGCGGGTTCACACAGACGTTCTATTGCGTGAGACGCTGCATGCAGATCACAATATCAAGCTCTGCCTGAAGCAACACAGCTATGGGCACGCCTAACGTGTCTTCTGCCACGCCTGACCTGTTTCGCAACAGCGCTGCTCCACCAGGCGCTCCAACGCCGAACATGTACATATATCCCTGCGAGTGGGCATGTGAAGGCCAACTTCGAGGCCAACCCAATTCTCTGAACTTGCCTCCGACTCAGCACATCTCATTCCGCCAACGCATAATCCCAGACCAAAATCACACTTCCGGGCCTGCCAACCACCATGCCCACGCTATCTTTCGAGGGCAACAATCCTCTGAAATCCGCCTTCAACCTCGAAGACGGTCGCACGGCCCTGCGAACGGTGTCCGACCGCACTTGGATCGGACGTCGGAAGCAGACGCGCATTCTTGTAGACGACAAGGACGTTGCTTCCATTGAGTGGCGCAAGAAGACCTTCACGCTACACGGCCAAGAGACGCGCATCCGGGAGGCGAAGGTGTCGACGAGCTACTGGAAGCAGTGCGTTCTCTGGCCCCTTCCTTGGGTAACGACTCCCGTAGGAAAACTGACCTGGTGCGCACGCAGCAAGATGGTATGGAAGCTCGGTGACACGACCTACACGGTGCGCGGCCCCTTGGGTGGCAGGTGGCAGGTGCGCTGTTTCCCTTCCGCATACCCAATCACTCACTCCATTTATTTTTCCAGGTCTACACCGGCTCCAACGCCAGCACTCTCATCGTCGAGTACACGCCGCGGGCCAGACACCTCACCGAAAAGAGCAAGCCTGCAACGCTCACGCTCACGGAGGGTCACACTCCGGACGCCTCTGTGGTGGGACTTATGCTCATCCTGTACTGTCAGGTGTGGTATAAGAGACGGGTAAGCATCAGAAAGGGAGGTGGATAGTTGCTAACGATGCACAGAACCGGTGGTACCATTGCGCGGGAGGGTGCTTATCGGAGGTGGCGGGCGGCGGTTAGGGATGTGAACTTGAGAAAGTGACGCGAAGACCCCATCCTTTTATCCATCGGCTGCTTCCACTTTCCGTATCGTCGGCAGTTCGAAACCTCTGCGTATGCAATTACAGACATTTTCGTGAAATTCCTGAGTTGAGGACTTGGAGTTCAACAATGATCATGTGACCAGCGGAACAAGGGTTCCCAAATTGGGCAGGTAGAGTCGTAGACGAAGTTCTGCGCACCGGGCGCTGTCTATAATCATTGTTCTTGTGTTGCAGGTAATGTACATGTGGCATCTTTTGACTACTCGGTTACAGTAGAGCTATGTTACAACAGGATGTGTCTACGCGCACTGCGCGTCATGCAACCTCCATCGCGTCCTCCTCCGCTGCGCCGTCCATCGCCTCCAACACCTCCGCCAGCGCACCGCGCCGGAACTCCTGGTTGTCGAGATAGTGCTGCACCTCCGTCCACAGCCGCTCATGCTCCGACTCCTCGTCGCCCTCATCCTCCAGCATACCCAGGTCCGTCACCTTCGGGAACAGCACCGCGAGAAAGGCCGCCACCGAACGCGTGTTCGTGCTCGCGAGCGGCGACAGCCCAACGTGCATGTAGTCGAGGCGGTTGCCCGCCAGCCGCTGCAGCCGCGCCCGCGTCTTCGCCCCAAGCGCCGGCAGCGGGTGCGTCGCGTCGGTAGCCAGCTGCAAGTAGTCGAGCCCCGGGCAGTGCTCCGCGAACGCGAGCAGCGCCGCGAGCGTCGTGCGCGGCGGCCGTGGCGGGCGGTGGTAAGGCGCGAGCAGGAGCTCGAGCGCGTCCGGCCACCCGCGCGCGATGCACGCGACATCCGCGTCGTTCCACGCGACGCCGCAGTACGGCTGAATGGTGACGGAGCGCAGCCGGTGGAAGCGCGCGAGCGGCCGGATCGCGCCGCCGCCGATGAGGTACTGGTCGACGTCCTGGTCGCGGATCACCTCGCGCGGGGCGCTCTCCGCGAGCTGCTCCTCCGTGATGGTGAGCGCGGTGAGCGTCTCGGGCATAAAGTGCGCGGCGAGCGTGTTGATGAGTTTGTCCCACTCGGTCGCGACGGACGGCAGGTGCATGCCGATATACACCTGCTGCAGCGGCCATGAACCCGAGATCTGAAGGACGTCGTTGAGCGTCTCGATGCTGGGGACGTAGAGGAAGAGGGCGGTGAGGGCGCGGAAGCCTGGCTGGGTGAGAATGACGGGCAAGTGCGGATCGACAACGGCCATGTGGAGCGTCTGCAGGTTCGGGAGCTCTGCGAGATGACCGAGGGCGTGCGGGCTGAGCTCGAGCGAGCTGAGGGTCAAGCTCGATATGGTGTTCCAGCAATTGCCGACAATGTCGCAGAGGAACTCGGCGTCGTAGGACGCGAGCGCGAGCTCGCGCACGGACGGACACGAGTCGGCGAGGGCGAGGAGAAAGAGCGTGGGCGGGGTCAGGTCCGAGTGCGGCTGCGCGATGTCGCTGCGCGTGCCACGATACAGGCGCACGGACGTGACTTTGCTGCCGACAAAGCGCGCAAAGAAGAGCTGGGAGTAGCCCTCGTCCATTTGCCAGTACAGCCGGCGCAGGTTGGGCAGGAGCGTCGACTTTGGTATGCAGCTGCTCAGCATCCGGTACACTTCGCGGTGCATCACGGGCTCGTCTGGTGCCTGCGTCGTGTCGAGGCATTTGACGAGGGGACCGTACACGAAGAGCCGGTGACAGTCGTCGGTAGTGAGCGGCCGTGTCAGCCTCTGTGAATATCGCGTAAGCGTGGGAGGGAAACACGAGGCGCAGGGGACGCACGAAGGTGAGGCGGCCATCCACACTGCGTTCCTCCCATGCGTCCGAGGGCAGGCATTTGAGAAGGGGCGTGAGACTCGTCTGTTTTCGCCACAAACACGGCGCTGCGAGTGTCCAAAACGAACGGTTGATCTGGGTAAGCGCCGCGATCGGACGGAGGCGCGGGCCTCTTGCGGTCTTGGCTGGCGGGAGGTGCTCGGCTTCCTCGCAGATGAGTTGCACGAGCTCCGGAATGTCCCACGCGCGGTGTCGGTCTGAGGACCTGCAGGGTGTAAGTACCCGTACGCGTCCCGGCTCTGCAAACGCACCTATCCGAGTTGCTTGACGCATAAGCGACCATAAGTAATCAATATCGATGGGTGGCGGGAATGTACAATGTTCAATGTTGTTCGACTCGGATTCGGAGTGTCTTTCTCTGCCAAATGTTACCAATGTCTTCTCTGAAGCATGCAGGGTGGGTAAGGAGGTCTGGCGGACAGGAGCGAAGTGGGGAGAGGACAAGGAATAAAATGCCACGAGGGGAAGGCGCCGTGCTCACGTTTCAAAAGTTACATCACATCCGTAAGTAGCTGCCGCCGTCGGCCCGACGCCTCGAGCCAGGAACCGGACAGAACCATCACAGTGGACCCACAACATTGCTGGTAAGTCTCACGCTTGAATATTGAAGGTTCGTGTCGGGAGGGGGGGGGGGGGGGGGGGAGAAATTTATGCAGTACTTTGGGAATTTTCGGCCATCTGGTTGGCGAACTGTTCTCAGAACTGTTGAATAGCATATACTCGCTCCGTGAGTTCACGCCTCTGGAGGGCTTTGAGTACTTACCTACGCTTTCCCTGTAGTGACTGCGCGGATTTTCCTACATATCTCCGGCTTCTATGTATGTATGATGAAAGCAGCCTTGCCTTGCGTTTGTGGAGGAAGTGGAGGAAGAAGACAGGCTGCATGTTTGCAGTTGTTTAGACTCGTTACAGACTGGACTTGTGTGCGCGTCGCATGACGTCGACACGGCGTGGACCAGACGTAGAGAGAGCCTGCGCTCAGTCGACTTCAGTTGTACATACAATCCATAGGTATACAGACACTATTCAGTGTAGGTAGGTAGAATAAGCTGAGCAAATAAGAAAATTAGGGGAACGATACAAATAGGCATACTGAGAGCGGAATTATTGGCCGCGTACTAGACGTACGAGCAGCTTTTAAGACTTGTTGTGGTGGAAGAGGCCGGAGATTCCATGGTGCTCCTTCGGGCGCTCGTGCGAGATGTTGCCGGCCCCGCCGCGTCCGTGGCTCTCGTGCTCATGGTGGGACGGCTCGTGGTGCTCGACAGGGGGTGTCGGCGTGTGGGTGATGTTCCCAAATCCGCCACGGCCCGTAGCATGTCTACAGAATACCTGTCAGTATACAGAGCAACACGATCGGAACTCATGTACACGCACGTCTCCTCCGGGAGGGTATGCATCTTGCGCTCCTCGTCCTCCTCGTGAAGCGTGTCGGTCGAGGGGCGCTCGCCGGCGATGATGTTCCCGAAGCCGCCGCGGCCGGTGGAGTGCACAGGATCGCGGGAGCGGGAGCGGGAGACGACTGCGGGCTCGCGGGAGCGGCTGCGCGAGATATTGCCAAGGCCGCCTCGGCCGGTCGATTGGGGGGCGTCGCGGCCGCGCTCTTCGGCAGCGCGCAGAATCTCGCGCTCGCGCGGGTCCGCGCCCTGCGTGACCTCGCGAGAGGGCGAGCGCATGTTGCCGGCACCTCCGCGGCCGGTAGAGAAGACCTGTGCGGCGCGTCAGCAGAGACAGGAGGTGCACTCATGCAACGACGCACCTCTCTGTTTTGGGCGGGAATGGGCTCCCGG